GCTACTGAGAGGTGTCTGGGGACCTGGGAGCCAGACGGTGCCTGCAGATGGGAAGCATCTTCCCAGGACGCCGGGTGCTGAGGTGGAACCAACCCTCCCCTCCCCTCTGAGCTCCTCTCTGGGTCTTGCTGGGTCTCTGTATCTACTTAGTTCAGCTCCAGTTCTACCTCAGAGCACACCTGTACCCTAGGGAGGTCCAGAAGCAGGCTGCAAGGGACGGATTTCACGTCCCGAGTGACCACTTCAATCACAACTGACACAGGAGGTGGCTCTGGTGATTTCATTTTTCATTTTCTGTTCATTTCCGTCATTTATTTTTTCTAGGGCATTATGGCCACACACGAGTGGGCTTCACCGTGACAGGTTTGTATGTACAGCATGACTTGGTCCATTTCATTAACCATGTCCCCTGTCCCTTCTACCCTGCTGTTGTGGTTTAGAGGTGACGTGTCCCCCAGAAGTTCATGTGAGAGACAAAGTGGGAAGGTTTAGAGGAGGCCACGTGGGCAGGCGAGGTCGAGAGGCCCCGGTGGCCGTGGTGACACCAGCCTTGGGACCACGTGGGCAGGCGAGGTCGAGAGGCCCCGGTGGCCGTGTGACGCCAGCCTGGGGCCACGTGGAGGGTGCGTGGCTGTATCAGTTTCTGCTGGGTCCGGCACCAGCTCCCAGGATAGAGTTCTGAGCGCAGTGGGATGTCCCTGCTGCCTCTCAGGCGCTGTGTCCTGCAGATTGTCACCGTGGCTGAGACGCCCCACAGTTCACCGTGGGATGAAGAACCCGCTCAGTCGGCCTGCTCGGCCAGCGCCGGGTGGCCAGCCTGMCCAGGCCTGGGCGTGTGTCTGCTGGTCTTTTCTCCATCCCACRGGCCCCCGTCTGCTGCCTCCTTATTAGGGCCGCGGCTGCTGAGAGCAGAGACGAGAGCTGTCCCGCTGTGTGGTGGCCGAAGGACCCAGAGTCCCACCACCTGAGCTTCAAGCAGGCCTGGCTGCAGTGGGGGCGGAGTCCCCACCCGGGTCTTGTTGAGGTGACCCGGGGCCCAGTACAGCCTCCCCCAACCCCCAGGAGTGGGGAGTCCTGGGGGCCCTGGGCCCAGCTGTCTCGATGGCTGGGACGGGGCTGACACAGCCCCGGGGGCTGCAGAGGTGACACCTGCAGCGAGAGCCTGGGCAGGTCCGGGGCAGGACCTGTAGGAGCTGAGGACATCCACACCCGCGTGGGCCCCGGCCAAGGGCCAGCCGCCATCAGGAAGGAGCCGTGGGGCGCAGTCGGGCGGAGCTGGTGCTGGGGCAGGGAGCCTGGCAGCGGCCCCTCAGCGACTCTGCAAGTCTCTAAAACAGTCGGCCCCTTACCTGTCGCCACCAGCTCCAGGGCTGGGCTCCCTCTGAC